AAAAAAAAAAAAAAAAAACTGAACAACTTGTTTTGTTTTGTTTTTGTTTTTGGAAGAAGATCAATCTTTATTAATCATCAAAGCCGGGAAGAGGGCCCGGCGTCCCTCACAAAAGATTGTCGCAGCCCTGGGCTGAGCGAGGCACTCCGGCCAGGCAAAGCTCATGCCACGGCTGTGCGGAGGGCCACAAACCTTCTTCTCTTAATCTCTTCCACCTATTCTACTCAGGGTCACATCGAAATTCTTCACCAAATTTAGAATAAAAATTATTATTATTATTATTATTATTATTTTTTTTTTCTTTCGCCTGGCCGGGCAAGTGACCCCGGGCCACTCTGGTAGCCTAGATGCAAACCGTACATCATTTGCCTGAGGCCCTGAGGGTGACCACCAAATTCGCTATGGAATCTGAAAATAAAAATATAAATAAAAATAAAAATAAAAATAAAAATAAAATAAAAATAAAATAAAATCCTGCATTCTTAACATGCCATAGGTTGCTCTCACTGACAGTCTGACAGTCTGACACTAGGTGCTGTGTGTGTTGTTTACCCTGTCTGTCTGGTCTGGGAGGTCCATTTCCAGCTGGCCGGGTCCAGACCCACCGTGGGAGATTGGGCTGTTGGGTTGGTATGCCGCGCCATCGGTCCCCTTCCCTTCCCCCTTTGGGACTCTTACCCTGAGCCCTGAACGCTGCCCCTTGATCGGGGGTCCTAAAGGAAGGGGACCCATGGCGGGTCCATTCTGTGTCTTCGGGGAAGATCGGGGTTACCCAGCCGGTGTCTCGCAGTTGGAAGTGGTGGGGACCGGCACCTTCCCATCTCGGTGAAGGAACGGCCATCCTAAACCTGTTTGGGGATTACCACAGGCCAAGTCTTATGCCCGTACACCTGGGCTGGTTCGTCTTCTTCTTGTTCTTGTTCTTGTTCTTCGTCGTCGTTGTCGTCGTCGTGGTCGCTTTCTTTTTACTCTTTTTCTTTATTTTCCTTTAAAGTTCAACCATTTTTCATTGTTTCGATTAATCCCTATCGTCCTTTGCAGGAGCATGCTGCCCTTCTCTCCATTGTTCCAACTCCCATGGATGTCCCAAAGGATGGACTTTCAGATGGTTCCGTCATTTTCGACCATAGATAAGAAAGATATAATATCCCAACGAACGAGAAATCCACCTAGAAAGTGGCATCTTGCCCTGAGGTTTCAGAATCTCTCTCTCTCTCTCTCTCTCTCTCTCTCTCTCTCTCTCTCTCTCTCTCTCTCTCTCTCTTATACACATCTAGATGTGTATAAGAGAGCGCAATAGAGGGGCAGATGGCGAAGAGGGAAGTGTTACGGTACCAGGCATCCAGGGTCAGACCCATGGAGAAAAGTTCATAGTCGCAGGCCGACAGGGGCATTTGCAAAC